GGGAGGGTGGAAGGACGGAGGCGGCAGGGGCAGGGCTGGGGGTCCCCCAGAGCAGCCCCCCCTCCTCGGCGCTGTCCCTCCGTGCTGGTCCCCGTCGTGCCTCGCTCCGTCCTTCGACATTCCGCTTTCGTCCTCGACGTCGTGCTGATGGTAACCGGATCTATCACCCCCCCCATTTGGATTCTGTATTTTTTTATAATAAAATGCAAATAAATGTCGTGTGAGGCCCTTGCTTTGAGGAATCACTTTCCCTCCCCGTGTGGTTCCACGTCCCCGGGGGCTCCATCCCCGCTCCCCGTGCAGCCCCTCTCCCCTGGCACACCGGGGCTGTGCAGCCAGACCTCTCTGCTGGGCGGCGTGTTAATTACGGGAAGGGTTTAATTACCCTGTTAATTAATAATAATGGATATTAAATTAATTAATATGCAATTGTTGATAGTGCTTAATTATCAGAGGCGATGCTGCCCCGCGGGCGGGCGCTCGGGGCTGGCGGCTCCCGCGGCTCCGGCTGCTCTCCCGCCGCTGCCTCAGTTTCCCCAGGAATGAGACATCAGAGGTGACATCCCAGGAGGCCACCAGAGCCAGGACAGGCTGCTCGGAGGTGACATCACGAAGCATCCTCTGCCAACCCCCAGCCCCCCCTCGCCCCGTTCTTTTTTTTACCTTAAATACTAAACTTTTTTTGGAGCGGCCCGTGCTCGTTCCCGGCGTTCTTATGCCCATTCCAGCGTAATTAGCAGAATAGGAACAACCCGCTGGTAATTAATTGAGGCTCCCACAGCTGATCCGAGCTCTGAAGTTTTGCCACCAGAGGGTGAAAGAGTAATTTTGCTTTTTAATAAGGGCCATATGTGTGCCAGGAGCGGGAGCGATGCCACCCACCGCCAGGGACGTGGGTGCTGCCTCCGGCTCTGCCAGCGCCGGGCTCCGGCAGAGGGAGGCACCAGGGAGGGGGCCCGGCAGGGATTTACCAAAAAGCGATTATTTCTTTTTTTTAGACCCGCTCAGGAGGTTTTTTGAGCCCTGACTCATGACTTTTTTAACGCTGGGTGTTGGAAATAGGGAGGTAAAAATAGCAAACGGGCAGCACGAGGCTGAGACGGATCATCGTTAGTAATTAATTAATGGAGTCGTGGGGTTTTAGGGCCTGAATGGGATCATTTAGAGCCCGTCTCTCATGCAGAGGCATCGAGGTTTGATGTGAGGAGTGGTTGGTGATGGAGGGCTGGTCCAGCCCTGGGTGCTCCTTGTGCTGCATCCCTGCGGGGCTGGTATCACCCACCCATTATCACCCACCTGGTATCACCCCCCTGGTATCACCCCCCCAGTATCACCCACCCAGTATCACCCACCCGGTATCACCCACCTGGTATCACCCCCCCG